ACAAGTTCCACTGCTGCAGTCTTGATCCAAGTAACTCTGCCTTACATTTTGGAAGTTCTAAATCTCTTACAAGATCATTTAATTCTGACTGTGTTATTTTGTGCGGTTGGTGGCATGACGTGCTCGGTATAAAATCAGGATCTCTTGACGTTGATGGCATATCTTCTTCCTGACGAATCACTCGATCGCCATGATCTGATTCGTTTTCTGATTCGCAAGTGTAGGATTCTGGGGTTTTGGAATAGGATTTTCGTCACTGTGAGGCACAGGTCTCATCGCAGATGGTATGTTTGGGTAGTTAATAACCGATTTTTTTTTCTTGGACATACCTGTGGCTTGTCCAACACAAGGTACCATGCAAAAGTAACAATCATTAATATGATTTGTAGGCTCTCGCCAAACCATTGGGACAGCAAAGCGCATAGACCGTTTTTTGCCATTTAACCTGCTCCTCAGACTTGAAGCACATGTATTACAGCAGATGTGGGGTGCCCACTGTTTGTCTTGATCACCTAGTTTACAACCGAAATAAAGCTGATATGCCTTTGTTATTAGTGGAGTAATAGACCGTCTCTGAGACGCAAAAGTCACATCACCACACACGTAACAAAACTGATCTGGATTGTTTACACACTTTCGAGACATCTTGCATGAACGCTGTCAGCCAACTGAGGAAAAAATGGCTAATATAAAACAATATAATGTACACGTATGTATAACGTAACACAATCATGCCGATTACATCATCTTTCCTTGCCGAATATAAAAATGTAGCACGTGCATTCTTGTGAATTACAGTATATTAACACTGTCACTGCAGGAACACATATAATTACCGTATCTCTAAAACTTGAACTAATATTGAAAAAATAAGTTTCATTCCGGTTTTAGCACATTAAAAATAGTAATATTTTGTTGATTTTATTTAGGATATTTTTTGGCTGTTGATCAGTGATATCAATAGATATAGTCATGACAGAAAGTAACACAATGGTGTTAGAATGCAAAAGCAAACGTCAGACGTCTAGGAGGGGGCGCCCCCCCCCCGCATCCCCCCTCTAAATCCACCAGTGGACGTGTTGTGGGACCGTGTCGCGCTCCATGATGAATTAGACACATCGTCGGTCTCCGCACGTAAAGGCGTAAATGATAAATAATCTAAAATCGACTTACGACGTAATTTCACATATTGTTTTGTAGTCTCTCACTTCACGAAATAACGTAGCTGTATATCAGTACGCTGCTAAGGAATAAAATTTTCAGAAAATTGCGTAAGTTATGAAATTCTGAAACAATTTTCACGAACCGGCTTAAATAGATTTAAGCCTCAGCGTTAAAATTGGTTCATTTTAGTCTAAAAAAAAAACAGCAACGTGCAGACTAAAAAATCAGTATGTGATTTTCAATCTCATTTATTGCTGATTTTCGTTTTCTAGCTCTCCTGTAAAATTTGTAAAATGTTAGTTACTCCGGTACGTGCGGAGACCGACGACATGTGCTTTAACTACTACGGCGCCACCTACTGAAATGCGTGTGTCGAAAATGGCGCGCAATTTAAATCAGTCAGTTATATATTGGCCAACCTGTATAAACGTGCAACGAAAAAAATCGTGTTTGCATTGTCCAAACAGACCCAATATGAGCGAATTTTATAACCTCACTTTTGTCGGTGCCCGTTTCACGTTTCATGCTCCATATGTGTTAATTGGAAAAAACCGAACATCGCGACTTAATTATGAAAACTCGTATGCGTGCTTAGGTAGCTACTGGCCCTATTCCAAACTTCAAATCCTAAAATAATAAGCTAGTACTCGGCCGCATAGCGTTCGTTGTCCCAATCTATCAAGTATTTGCGTGTATGCTCGCAGTGTGTTTGGAATACCGGCATTCGTGGTGATTCATGTGACTATTTTGAATTGCTAAGCACCTGATGGATTCATTACAATCAGTGTGATTTATACGATCACACTTTTGTATAATTATTCACCTGATTGTATAACATTTTAGTATGTCTGTAATGCCGGGTTTTCCGTTCAATTGTGCTTAAGAGCTTAGAAATTTGCAGACTGGGTTACTCAGGTCACCTTCAGCTGAGTGTACACAAATTTTTTATTTCAATAGTTTCCAAACGATATGAACTGTTAATGTCAGCTACTCCTTACATTGATGTGTTCATGTCCCTTTTTCATTTTATTTTTTACTAACCACGTCACTGGCGAGGGAGTATTGTAAAATTTCGAAAATGAGATATCTTTTTCGGATGGATTACTTAAATCCAAGGTACTGACTGTCGTCCCAAATTATAGCAATAACTCAGAATCTGTTGATTTTATGACCATCGGTGGAAATAAAATATTATTCTAAAATAAGTTAAAACACCAAATCGCATCAAAAATGAAATAAATAATTCTAATCAAAATGAAAAAAAAATATTAAATCAAATATTTGAACAAACCTTCTTAGGTTTGATAGTAACCTAACCTATTGTAGACGCCTATAGGAACATTTGCTAGTGAAACGCGGCAGATTGCAAGACCTTCTGTGTTACCATCCCTAGGCAATGAGTTGATGGCTTCGCTCTTCAGCCGGCTTCTATCTCTTCTCTCTCTCTCTCGTACAGATTGCCGTCAGACAAATTTGGTTATCTGACCGAAGGGTGCTTGCAACGCCATGCTGGATTGACGAGTGCCGAGGTTAGTCACAGCAATGCTGCCAGATTGTCTATAGTGCAGAGAGAAACGTTATTAAATGTGTGCGCCTAAGGATTGATTTTATGAGCCTGTTTGATTGACTTGCTCCATTTAGTCGCCTTGTTATACATGTTCGTATCGAATTTTTTTGTCACTTGTGGCGAACATCACCTTTCATGAGCTGATGACAGCTTTGCGTGGAAAGTGCAGAGTCAACCTACTTGACGCCTTTTTTTTTATTATTCAAAACTAAAGCTCAACTTATTGGGAATCTTACGGCTTACAGAGTAAGCTTATCCACACTATTGGAAAGGCTCTTGATGTTTTTAAGGCTTTCGCTCAGATGTAACATGCTTTTCCGAAAAGTATTTGCCGATGGGTTCTGCCGAAGGGCCGACCACTTCTTTGGAACAAAGTTCTCTTCCGTTTAGATTTCTTTGGATGTATTGGAAACCATAGGATCTCATTGGTAACCCTTAGATCTCATTGGTCCACCGGAAAAAATAGTGAGATCTACTGAAAAATCGGTAAAATTGGCAACCCTGGACGGCAAAAACGAGTCGCCTGCGCTTTCGCAGATACACAGGTTACCCTGAATTATTCCGGATTCCATCCCAGTCATATAAAAAAATCTTTAGAAGTCCTTATGGTCTCCTACTACGATAGAAAATCTTATTGTTTAGCCTCGGAAATCCTTGAATTGCCTCCGAAGCCCTTAAGGCGGATTTCCACCAAACGGACTCGCTTGCAACTAGTTTCGGTTTCAAAAACAGAAACAATAATCTTGTTGTAGTTTCGAAAACAAACTCGAAACTCGAATTCCACCAAACAAACAAAAAAACTAGTCTTTCGCGTGTTTTGTTTTGAAGTGTTTTCTTTCGTTTCCACTACACGAACAGTTTTCATCATGCCTTCTCTAGACGATGTTTTTATGATGGCGTGCGGTTTTTTTTATAATCAAATCTTTTGAGCAAAAGAAGCCAAAGCGAAAAAGACCAAGATACTGGATCAGATCATTCTTAAGAAGACGACTAGATTATGGAACGGACAAAATTATGGCAGATTTGGTAGATGATGACATAGGAATAAGTGGAGAACTGAGATCGTCATTTTATAATTTTGTAAGAATGTCCAATCACGAATTTGAAAACTTGTTAAATCTGCTGGGACCAAAAATTTGCAAACAGAATACAAATTACCGAGATGCTATATATGTGAAGATCGATTGGCAATAACCTTAAGATTTTTTTCGCTCATTTTCTAAACAGGAAAATTAAATCTCATTCTTTTTCGAAATAAACGACAATAAAACAAATTAATAAATATACTCTGGCTAGTGGCGATAGTCGAAATTCATACCTACCACAGATTAAACACTTAATAAAAATGTATGATGAATTTACACAAGTCACAACATGCATATCGCATACCAAAACAAAATAGTGAACTGTTGTCGCCGACCGTTTCCACATAGCGAACTCTGTTTACGAAAACAGAGACAAAAATACCGAAACCTTTTGATCTTTCCGCCTGGCGATAGGACTTTTCGTTGTTGACGAAAACACAAACTTGCGACACAAAGTCTTCAAAATGTTTCTTATTTCGGCAACAAAAGTTTTTGTTTTGTCGAAATCGACACAGTTGCTGTTTTGTTGCGGTTTTGTCCGTTTGGTGGAAATCCGCCTTTAGATTACCTTGAATCTCAATTTCTCAACGTTGTTTCTGCTACACATTGGTAACCTGTTAAGCAAATAAGTTTTTATCAAAATATATATAGTACCCCTAAATCCCATTACTTATAACTTATTTAATAATATGTTGATATCTACCAAGTCTATAAAGACTACTTTTACCACTTGTTTTCATTCAGAGCCCTTGAGACCCATAAATGACATACATCATTCTTTTCTTGATGATTTTTTTTTCAATAATCATAGATAAGACACTGATCACAGATATTGGCCTGAAATAATTCATAGAAAAGAAATTTGCTGTTCTTCGTAATAATGCTACTTTTTGACATTGCTAGACTGACCGGCCAGGCTTAGCCGCTACTTGAACATAAAAAGTAAAGACGTTCAGTTTTTCTGCCACTTGTGTTCCTCAAAGCTTTTAAGCTGAAAGAAAGTATCTATTGTGGTGAAATACACAATTTCCATTAAGAATAATTGTAATTATTGTTCGTTGCAAGTTCTCTTCTAATCAAAAGTACGATGAAATTTAAAACAGCCGACAACATCGTAATGAGAAAACGACTACTGTTGGCGGCAGGATTATCCAATTTAGCAAAGTGTATTATTATTAGTCATAGGACAACACGCGCCGCATCGCATCGTCCATGGCCGTATGTGTTTTGTTTTTACGGATTCGCATTCGTTTGTTTCCATCGATCTAGACGGCGTAATTCCTTGATCATTTGTTTTTTCTCTGGCGATTCGCTTCTGTTTACGTTTGAGTGAACGCGTGCGCATTGATTGGCCGTTTTTGTGCAAAAAATAGCTTTCATTTCTAAAGTGCGCGGGTGATTGCAATCGAACTGTGTTATTGTATGGATTTGCATATTACTTGTGCGAAGAAAAGCGACTCTTCAAATGTGAGTAGATATGCAATTTTATTTTTATTATCGTCTCCACAGCTGACCTCCAAGTATTCAAACAAGGAGCCCAAACTCGTATTCGGGAGCTCCGGACATAAAATCGCTAAATTCTTACCAGGGTGCGCCAGAGTTTTGTCCAAATTCAGATAAGTGTACTACAAATTCATGAAACTATTTGAAGCTTGAAGTGAGGTCTGATGAGCTTTCTTGTCCTTTTTAAAGATAATGTGTATACAAGCATTTGGTTTTGGACGGATTGGATGTTGCGCATCGTTGATGAGGTTTTCAGCAAACTGTTAAAACAAAGCAGATTTTCATAGTTGCGTTTATCTTCGGTGTGTCTCTTGCGAATTCAAGCGATATTCATAAAGGGTCTACAGGACCTCTTCTGTTTTGAGTAATATTTCGGCTGTATTATATTTCGACTGATTAAAAATGTTTCCAGTTCAGTTGCTAGAATCATAATCTATTATGCGACACGTCATATGTTGGCTCCCAAAGCATCAGGTATATGTTATATAATATATACGATTCGTTTACGTTATTCTTTTAGCCCTTCAATAACCCAAAGTGTTCATGTTTTCACAAAATACAAATACAAATCAATAATACAGTATTCGAATGGTGTTATAGTCAAGTTTTGAATAGTATATTACATACCTAGGTTGAGATGTACGTCATTATTGATCGACTACTTATATACTGAGGCGTATAACGCCGAGGGATATAATGTTCAAGAGCAATAATGGCCTTCTCAAACGAGGAATGTATGTACTTTTATTTCCCACGCCTTTGGGCGATGAAGTACTCTAACGACGAAAAATATTTATAGGTTTAAAAATCCCTCAAACGTCGTTTTTTAACGTTTCAAAGGATCCCGATCATTTTTGAAAAAATTAGGTGTAAAATAATGAGGAGGTGGGGGATTATAGAAGGTGGGAGCGGGTATATCTCAATGTTTTATGTTAATACGCGTATACGCTCTCAACCCTGCTAATTTTCCGCACCTAGCCATATTTCACTCATCATAGGTTTCCCTTAAAACGGTAGAGAACTCGATACCCGTCTTCTGTTTGAGCTCAACGCCCGGCGTAACGGTTTGCTTGATTGTTCTGCTCGTACCGCGTCGGCGGGCGCTGCCGCGTCTGACTATATAGGAAGGAGCAACGTTGCCAGATGCACCGCAACTGCCGGTAGGGCAGAGAAAGAATATCTATGGACTAATTATATGGACCTGTTTGGCTGACATGATCCATTTAATTTCTACTATTGTACATGTTGCGTACCTTTTTTTAAAGCGCTTAACGTGAGCTGAATATAATCCTTTATGAACTGATGATGGCGTTGCAAATGCAGAGTCAACCTACTTGACGGCATTTTAGTACTTTTTACACAAACATTCTATACAAATATTTTGAAACATCTAGTTTTTCAATACTTTCCCGATTATTGAAATACTCCAGCGGGGTAGGTATATTAAAAGCTATACTCAGTACTAGTTATTTTTCACTTGTTTTCAAATATTTCTTAATATAAAGTTTACTAGTTAAACTAACATAATGGAGTTAGCAGAAAACAATTTTAAATGACATTATCTTTTACCTAGGCATTTTTTATCATTATTTACCTAGGAATCCTAACTACTTACTTCTCAACGAGGCATTGAGATCAATAGTGATGATATAATGAAAGTAAAATTTTACCAGAACTCTGCAGTGGCAACGCGTGACTTTTTCTAAACTGTTACCAAAACCAGATGCGAAAAATCGTATTAAAAAAGGTTTATTTTGGCCCTTTCAGATATGTTTTTGCTTATTTTAGGTATTGTATTCAAACATTTTTTAAATTAAGGTAATAATTGCTGGACTGGGCGTCTGATACACTTGATATACCTCATCGTCTTATTCTATGACTAATCCAAGCCTTCCGAAAAACAGTAGATCTTTCTAGATGTTCGGATTTTCTTTTTAATCTTTTTTGGCAATTAATGTTAACAATTCCCAGTAATTTCGTCTATATCAGAGTCATCCCCTTCAAAATGACCCCGAAATGGTAATTCTTGTTTGGCCAAAAAACATACAGCATCGATAAGTGTACTGCCTAAAAGCTTGGTTAAGACAACTTTCGATTCTTGTTTTGCCAAACTGAATCAAATTGGCTACACATCTGACATGTAAAGGAGACATTTCATGTCTCCTCTTTAGAACCCTAAAACTATTTAAATCGTTGCTGGTCCATCCATTTTCTGGAAAACAGAGGACATGGCGCAACAGTACAATCTGTTTTTCTTGCAGCCACATAACCAAGAGTTTTCAATATACCAACTAAATTTAAAATATCGAACTACTTTTTTTTATTCCTTTTTAAAATTATCTAAAATAATTGTTGGTATTCCATTTTCAATTATCTCCTTTTTTTCGTCAAAATTATACAAGGAGAATGACTTTTCAAGTAGTTAATCGATTACGCAGCGACACTCATCGTGAGTAACCAAAACAAAAAATGGTAACAAGTCCACATAATAATCGCGGCGGCCTAAGCACTTGGGCGACCGCGATCAGACACGAGCCGGCACCGACGGTGACCGACGGACTATCAAGTGTATCCATAAACGAAAATGGTAACAACCGACAACCAAGTCGAGGCGAGGTGGCTTCATCGCGTTCGCAAAATTTAGTCAGTATTATAGGGCGCATTATTTTCATGGGACTAATCTGCTATTTACTAAATTACTAGTACATATTGCTGTTGGTAAACAAATAAATGAACTTATTTCGCAGTACTTAGTCACAAATTATTTAGTTTTAAGATTGTTAACTGTTGCCAATGGTAACAATGGTTACATGGACGGTTCGCCACTGGAACTCTGAGATACAGTATTACAAAAATACGTTGATTGATAGAACTTCTAAACACTAGAAAAAATAATCGTCCATGTTTTTCATCTTGAAAATATGTAAACATTAATATATTTCTAACAAATACATGTAAAACTATTTTCAAAGTATTATAACCTCAATGGTTCTAATATTCTCTGCTCGTGCGTGTTAAGCAAAAGTAGTAAACTTCACCCAACAGTCAACATGTAAACTTGAAAGTAAACTGAAATTCATGCGTCTTGCTCAGTGATGCCACCGGCCAGTAAAGGAATTATGGTACGATGTTGCCAGAATTATCAATTTTTCTTCAAAATTATGTTACAAATAGTGTTCCTTTAAGACAAAAAATACACATAATTAATGTAGGTTATTTAATGTAAAAATCTCATAAAAAAAATTGAGCATTTGGGAAAATCAAACAAACTCTCGAAAAATACTACAAGATATACCTAACTCGAAAACATAAAAAACATTATTCAGGTTCAAAATGAATATCAACAGTTTCATTTTCATCTTGAGCGACATGTTTATAGGACGTTATTCTATTAATCATATTTTGAGTAACATTAAACTTATAACATTCACGATGTACACTTTGAGATGCCAATAAAAGTGAATTTACTGTATCACTGTACAAGCGATTTCGGACATCTGTTTTGATTAAATTTACTTTTGAAAACATTCTTTCGCATACGGCATTTGAATGAGGAATTACTAATAAATCTAATACAAAATTTCCCAATTCTTTAAATACGTAAACATCAGACATGTCGTGAATTAGGGAGATTTTGTACCAGTATTTATCGATTGATGTTTCATCCTTTATTTCATCACTGAAATTTGGTTCTGACTGGCAATACATCCGCCACTGATCATCAATTTTTTGTATTTGTTCAATATCTTGAGGATCTACAATTCTGGGTAGTAACTTAATTAATGGAAAAAGCGATGCTGGTTTTGGTTTAGAATACCCTTTTTCAAATACTGATATTTTTGACAAAATATTTTCATTAAAATCAAACCGTTTTTTCATTTCATTTGCAGAAGTTATTAAAAATTGACGGCACCGCATGTAGAAATCTTCTTTTTCCTTTTGATTTAATTTATCAATGTTCTGAAGTACGCGAACACCAAGGTATATCTGTTTCAAGTCAATGAACTGACTAGCATTGTTGGGATCGATTTTACCTATTTCGGTTTTATGAATATAATTTGGTTGTAAATAGCTTAAACAAATTTCTTTATAAGTTTCACAAACTACATCATAAACGTGTGCAATTATGACACGCTCACTTTGAAAGTATTCATTTAATTTTACAAATTTTGGTAAAATCCAATGAAGAAAAAAGAAAAAAGATTTGTTTCCATATCATTATGTCTATTGGCAACAACTTCTGAAGCTTGCAGTCTATGTTCGGTCCATTCTTTAACAAAATATAATTGAAGGGGATTCCATTGCTCAATTATCCTTTCCACTGCCATAAGTAATGAAAGCCACCTAGTTTGTGAAGGACGTAAAATTTTGTGAGGCTCCACATTACAAAATGTCTGAAATTCTGTAAATTGTGCCGTTTGGAGCTATTTTTAAAGTAACCAAAAATATTCCTGGCTAAATCTTCACAATGACGGGGCAAAACTTTACAAGCCTCACTGGCACAAAGATGTAAAGAGTGGCAGATGCATTTTTGAACTATAATGCCAGGAAGATTTAGTTTTAACCTACTTACTACTGAGTTATTGGCACCAAGCATAGTGTTACAACCATCAGAACCAAATCCTATAATATTTTGGAAAGGTATATTGTTAGACTCAAATAAATCCATAATTTTTTTATAAAGAACTTCTGCAGTCGCCCCTGTATTTGCTTCATCTGGATTTTGATTTGAAAAACATTGAACCAAATTTAAAAATTTTGTAGATACCTCATTTGTTTTTTCACTAAAGTACCTAACACATACACATATATTTTTTACTACACCTATGTCTGTAGATTTATCTACTAAAATGCTAAACTTTTTTGCTTTTAGTTCATCGATTAGTTCTTCAAAATGAGATTTGGTTAAAACATGTTTTATAACACCTGTTGCTTTGGTTCTTCAAATCTGCATTCCTTGGGCA